AAAAATCAAAGTAGAGGATTATCTGGGAATTACTACCTTCAGACGTCTCATCCTCTTCTTCATCCTGATCAACCGCCACGTCTTCATCTTCTCGTTCCGGTGGAATCATTCTAAACTATTTTCTCTTAGAACTGTTATCACACACAATTTACAGTAGCGGTCAAAAGTGTTCGCCGGAATGCTATCTCGTGCATTTCGTTTCTTTCCTCCAAAGAAAGATCTGATGATTAGTACATGAGCTCGACGTTCGATAAATCTTGGCATCGTGTGTGGTCTTTTTTCTCAGTAAAATCCTACCGCGCGTTCTAAGGTGAGTTGACTGGTGTTTGTGATTTATGGCACCCCCCTGGAGGCTACGGGTCTATGGGGACTATTTCGAAGTTTGAAATGATGTCTGCGGTAGGTCGTACTGATCTTTGACTTTCCAGGCTCTGACGAGGCGACCAAGCGAATTTCTTCGTATAACTTCGTATAATAGTTTGAAGCCTTTTTTCGATACACTGCGTTTCATAATTATAGGTCCACCCTAAATTTTTGCTACCCCAAAGTTGCTGTGCATTTTTTGGAAATGCTGCTATCACCGTTAGATTCCTCATCACGGAAAACCTTCATAGTGTTTTTCTGACAAAGTTCCCTCCCTCAAGTAACCCAATTAACTTTTTCTGAACGAATTTTCACCGTTTCGTGAATATCGGGCTACTCATAAAAAGTTCCCATTTCTCGTGATCAGTGAAGGAAATAAGGGAAGCGGGGATATATCTGAGCTCAGTCGACATCGAGTTTACCGTACCTCGTGTTACTCGCCTCTCTTCCCAGTAACAAGCTCAAGCCAGAGCACTTACTGAAGTGGGATGGCAAAGGAGCAAAATTTCCTCCCAAGCCGGCCGGCTCCTACGACCTAAGCAACTAAGTGCGAAATCCTGGTCAGTGCGGGGAGAAGAGTAGCTTAGGTAAATGAAGACCGCGTTTCCTTCAAGATTTAGGAGGAACTGGGCGTTTCTTCTCTCGAATTTGTAGTTTGAAAGTGGAAAATAGGCGGAAATGAAATTTTCTAGATAGAAGAGGAAGACTTCATTGATGAAGACGAGGGAGTTTTCGTGGATCTTTCGGCACCACTCAATAACGAAAATCAGGTAAGGAGAACTGCTTGTAATCTGAGAGTTATACAGTATCATCTTTGTTCCTCAGGAAAATCCTATACAAGCCGTACTGCACAGCAATACTGATGCGACTACGTGGTATGAGGAAGTCGAACGGGTAACTCCGCTTCTGAAAATCACCATAAGACAGGATGCAAAGGTACAGTTGGCTCGGTTTGAGTGATTCATAGACTTAGTAAGTAATTGCAAGCAGGGTCAACCGTCACGTTGGACCAATTTCGAAAATTTTACGACCCCCCCCCCCTTCTAGAGGGCCTCGATACGACCCCCCTCAGGGTTAACCCTTCACGACCATCCTCCACCACCCTCGCCTGCCATCGCCATCATGGGGCGATTCTATAGTATTTGATTCTGAGACCAGTCGACACAGCCCAACTCCGCCCACTTTTCCTTCGAGCGGAGGGGGAGGGAGGTATATATCGAATGTGAAAATTTTCGCACTATTTTCGCACTCAAAATCCCAGCCAACAACCTAATCCGCTCTCCGTTCCATGAAAAATCATCCCTTCCCTTACTGTAACATTGACGCTACCTCGCGAAATACGACCCCCCCTCTTTTCCACCCCCAAATACGACCCCCCCACCCCTCGTTGGACTTTGTCCAACGGACGGTTGACCCTGGTTGCAAGCTCCCACATGGCACGAACATACGCAGACCGGAAATTCACAGACTTGCTCATCTGAAAGCTTCTGCCTTCTGCCTGAACCGAAGTGCGATCGATTTTTTCATGAAAACTCGCGCACATTCACGCTTTCCACAGTAAGCGCCTGTTAATTCCCCATCATTTGTGACAGTTTTACGGCTTGAATTCAATTCACTAATAAGCTTATCAGGTTGGATTTTGTATGAAAACAAGTGATGTGGATCTTTTTGTCATCTTCATGAAACAGGGGGGCCTGGAGACTCCTAGTGGAAATGGTACTGTGGCCGCTTTTCAGTCGAACGATATCCGCTAAAATGATCAGCGATTACTAATAGGAATGGTATCGCATCTGAGAAGGCGATGCACCGACAAGTGGGGGGCGAATGAGTACTGTGTGCTGCGCAGCAAACGCGATGTGTGACGCTTTATAGACGTTGCTGAGCTATAATTTCGAAAGCGCCCTGCCCCCAAAAGTCAAGCGTCCGCTCAACTAGTTTATTTGGCGGTTTGGACGAGCAGCCTTGCCAACAACTGCACCAACTGAATCAACTTGATTGAGCATGGTTTGGGTGTTAACAAACGCGTGCGCTGAACTCGTTCACACGCCCGCTCCGTGAGCTGTCATCTGTTCATGAGTGAAAACCAATGGCCCAAAAAAGAGGTACCAGTTTGCCTTTTCTTGGCTGTTTCTAGTACCGACTACCTACTATAACACCGCTATAGACATCGCCACTCTCCTATAAACCCTTCTTGCCAAACATACCGTAGTTGCTGCTCTTAAAACCAAAATTCAATGAAACGCAGAAATCTTCTTCATCACTCTCTAGTCGTACATATAACTGACATAGATCTAGCCTTGAAGAAAAACTTCAATTTCATGATCTTCGAGAATCCCAGTTTTGAATCCGAAAACCTCAGTTGCACCACAGATTGACTGGAGAATGCATTGTGTAACAAATGGGTACAATCTCCACAAACTCATGTCCGAACTTTCGAACGAATGTTCACCAAAACTCTGAAAGTAATTCTCCCATTTAAAGTCTCGCCAAAAATTATAGGATCGGCGACCTATTCAATAACCTTCTCTTTATAGAATCTTTGATTCATATATGTTTTGTTTCAGGTTTTTTGGGTTGAACAACTTTTATTGAACGGCGCGTGCTTGTGTGCAACCCCGATTTTCATGCGGCAATTACGCCTATTCTCTTAACTGCTTAATATTGCGCAGCAGCCCCCACTTACATGTTAGGAAATTAGTGAAGTAATTTAGAGACAGGGCCTTTAACACGTTGACGACAACGCGCGTTTTGGCTTCTTTGACCGCGTGGGACCGGCGCGATTTTGCGAGCGCCGCCGCCTCAGGTCCTTCAGGCGAATTTTGCATGGTAAATGAATAAAACATGATTGATACAAAGTTAGATTAGTCTTTTTCAGTGCGTAGAAGCGCCCCAGAGATATAGTAGTGAAAATTTGGTTGAAAGTCGGATGAAATAATAGTGAAAAAGCAAAATTTGTCAGAATCAGCTGCAATGAACGTCAAAAGCAATTTTGCACCGATTATTGCAATCCAAACACATATCTTGTCATACTTGAGGTTCCGTATTGACTTACACTACCCTTTAAATATTCACATTCATGAAAAGAAAATGTAAACAAAAAATCAACTGGGTTGACGATTTCGTTCGGTTCAGAAAACCTCCCCTAATTTGAAGCACACGTGACCACTCTAAGAGCTACTATGTTTCTATCTATGTATAAGGTTTTCTCTATGGAATGAATACAAGAAGCCTAAAAATGAATCACGTGTGCGAGAAAAAAATGAATGCACTGGGTGCAGGACACATACGTCCCGCGTTGTCCGTTGTGGTCTGCAAAGTGCGGGACGTATGTGTCCTGCGCTGTCGTCAACGTGTTAAGAGAAGACGATTGGGTCGAATCGTCAGGCCATTCATAAAATTGTGACCTAAAACCCTCGTAGGCAAACAAACATTGACCTTAACAAGGACGTGGATCTTTTTTCTTGTTTAGTCTCTTTGAACAGAGAAAACTCAATAAAATAGCTGTTACATTGATCAAAATGAGCTTTAGATTGCGGATGAGGTGGAAAAGTCGCTGGAGCGAATCGAAACTCGTGAAGCGGACCTTCTTTATATCAGTCAGTTGTTGCCGTTTTGTGATTATCCAAGCTATAAATTAAATCTCTAAGCGCGTAGAGCTAGGAAGTTCGTAGGAGAACATTATGAATTACCTTTTTATGTTCGTCTAACTTGCAAAGGGCGATCGTCTTGTGCCCCACTCAACAAATACCTTTTGTAGTGGCCCTGCCATCGGGTGTGTCTATCAGCTGAGCGGAAAAACAGCACCACATTACAAGAGCTTCTGAAAATTGATCAAGAATCAAAAATCAAACGAGGAACAAGGGGCAAAAACGAGCGATGGAGGTGAGAAACACTGGCAAAAAGATTCTATAAGATAACTGAAGCTCTACAAATTACGTTGCGAAAGTTATACACAAAATGCACCGAGTTCTGGCAAACTTCTGCCCAGCTGGGAATCGAACCCGATATCTTAGTTTCGGACGTTGTGCTACAATCTACTCTACCGCACACTTCCATCACCCCACCGTCAGCTATCGTAAAGGGTAATATACACCTTGAAAAGGAACCAAGATCCAAGCGGGTAGAATCCTGGCTGGCAGACGTTTTGCCACAACCCAGCAATTATTGTGACATTATAAAAAAAATTCCTAACATAAATACGAGGAAGCCATTGGTAAAGATTCGGGCTAGATCCGTCCAACCTATTGTGTGGTGACATAGCGTTGAGAAAGGTTAATATCGTCGAATCCAGCCAAGGCACGTCAAAGGATTTCGTCTGACAACATCAGCCAGAGGTTCCCTCGAACCGTCCTTATCTGAGGCGAGGTCTCCCAAAAGGGGTCTGATTCTCGAAACCGCTGGTGACGTCACAGTTGACCCTGTATCCATTCCTTTCTCTTCCAATCTATATTGGAAAAATGAACAGCGCTGTTCTACAAACGACAAACGCAATTTGCGATGGCACTTTTCTAAGGCAGTATTCCTTGAAGACCGAAGCGCCGATACATTTTTGCATTTGTACACAGTTTCTCGTAATGCGCAACGCTAAAAGCAAAAAGGAAGGGAAGACGGCTAAGTAACCTTTAGCGCATGTGTGTAGATAATATTTTGGTGTCGGTAATAGCAGAAGCTCTGAGTGCGAAAGGTCTACAATTGTATGCCTTGGGCAAGTTTGTTCTGGTGAGAAGTTAATTAACTAGATTTTGGGGATTCGGGATCGCAAAGAAACAACTGTACCTCTTCAACCTTGGATACCTTTTACTGACGCTCCCGGTCACCTAAAGTTTCTGAAACCGCATCACCTCCCATCAACAGTTTTGGATCCTTTTCTGTGCGATGTTCCTTCAAAATGCATGTTTAGCCCCAATGATGAAAGTGAAACAAGCGATCTTGAAGATTGAAGAAGAGATTCAACGAATGAACGTGCAAATTGGTGTGCTCGAACAAAGTCTTCTTCAGGCTCAGCTCAAAGAGCGAGTCTCGTACGCTGCTGAAGCCTATGGAGTCGCATAGATTTTCAATAAGTGTTCAAGACTTGCATGTGGTGTGCTGAGCTCGAAATAAAATATTTCACCAATTTCAACTATCACTGTGTTTTTCATCCCATTTTTTATTCAAATCCACTTTTCTCTCTTAGCACAACGGTCAGCAATATAATAGGTTGTAGGGAAAGTTCTCGCGGTTTTTGACACATATCATTACCTTAATTTTTTATCAACAAGAAAACATATTAGGAAACAAAGTAATCACCATCACGTTCTATCACTCTTCGCCATTTTTCGGGCAGACTTTTGATGCCTTCGGCAAAGAACTTTTCTGGCTTCGATTCAAAAAAGTTGCTCAACCAGAGCTCAACGTGCTTCGAAAAACCGCGAGAACTTTCCCTACAACCTAATATAACCATAAAGTAACCCACATATCGCAACCAAGAACTGCCTCTCAGTAGGCCGACTTGTGAAACCGTTGCCCCAGAACGTTTGCATTGCAGCAAAAAGAAAACGAAAGAAACGACAGGTTCCGAGTAGTCCAGCAATCTGAGCCTCTCTTATATTTTAGTTGTACAATCAACAAGAAAAGATTCAGAAACAAGTGTTATACGACTTCTATACAAGTGGTGAATCAACAAGTAGTAGCTATAGATACTATAAACCTGCTGATCTGTTATACTTCACAGAATATTTGTTAAAAAACAGTTATTGTACATTTGGCAATCATATATTCAAACAAAACAAAGGAGTACCACAAGGAGGTAATTTCAGTCCCCTATTAGCTGATCTTACCCTCTCTAATTATGCAATAAAGTATAAGTTTAAATAAAAAAAAGAGTTCATCCCATACAGATATATGGATGATTTGCTAGTGGTATACATAACCAAACCGAAGATGACATTGACATTCAACTAGCAGAAGTGTATATGAATACACTTGAATTAAAGAAAACACATTTAAGTGAAACATCTAGTAAGATTCCCACATAATGACACAAATATCTCCATAAATAATAAAGGCTCCGTTATATACACTGAAACACTCAGAATAGCTAACACTTGTTCTGTATTTGACACATTTACCGAGAAACTAATAGAGTTCATACGAGTGTTACTAGGAAATGGTTATCATGAGGACTTTATTATATCTAATATAGTTAAGTGTATTTATAAAAATAAGTTTATATGCTATAAATTCTCAATGGCTAATAATTATAAAAATGTTAATAAACTAGTTAAAGGAATACTCAATCAATAGCTTATGCTTAATTCAGTGGACAGCTACAAACATTTCCACCTTTTTAATTTCATAAAAGTTTTACATATACTTTTCAATTTATAATAACTTTATTCAATATACAATTAATTTCATTGCATGCTCCTCTGCATGATAATTTTGTACGTCTACTCAAGGTTTATTCGTCTTTCCCCTGTGTCTTTATTTCGCCAAAATCCCAACTCACTGATAGACCCGTGATTGACGAAAAATAATAGTTCCGTTCTCTTGAGAAAGGAATGCGAACGAACCCATTTTACATTATATTCGTTATAATGACGTTTTTCTTTCTTAATTCAATCATCACGACTCTCTCTCTGCTATCTAATCAATCCCACGTATAGATCTGCGGCGAGTGATCAGCTGGTCGGTGGGCGGAGATCGCCAGACCCGCCAACTTTGAGGCATAATAGGTCGCCGAGGTCAAATTTTTCGATGCGAATTGCGCATCAGTTCGCACCCTCAGGAGGTCCGTGGGTTACTCAACTAGGTAAATTACTTCTTCCTCGACCTCACATATTCTTAATCGTGAATAATCCTGCCGTTAAGGTATCGGTTTCTGTGTAGATGAATTGCGGAGGCTTTTTCTCGTAGAAGATTCCTTTAAGCAAGAGCGCAAAAGTTCTACATGAAAATGTATAAGAGATTAGGCGCTTTCAGACTACATCGTAATTTTTCGGGAATAATCCGCAAAAAAAAATCAAAAAAACGGTGGGTAGTTCCTGCTCAATTCAATAAATGGTTGCTATGAGCACTGCCTTTAGATATGATTCAGACAAATGCTTAATGAGCATTGGCGTGAATGCGCTTGACGACCACACCGGCAGTACGTCGATATAAGGACAGGTACCCGACAAGATGGCCCAAGAAGGCTGAGTCAGTGGACGAGTCGCAGCGCGTACTGTAGTGATTTCATGTCGAGTTAAAAAGAATGTACCATTACTCGTCAAACATCGCACAGCACGCGCTGCGACTCGTCCGCTGATCCCGCGTTCTTGCTGCGCGACGGGCCTCCTGTCGGGTAATCTGAAGGACAATATCTGGGAGGCGACGAAGTTGTTCTTGCTTCAGTATGTAACAGGTCAGTGTACAAGCTATTTTTCTATTTTCTGTACCACAAAAAGAGAGGTAGTACTCGGTGTCCTAAGGCCTTTTTCAAAAAGGCCTTCGACACAGTGGAGCATGAGAGTGTATACAACGCCATGCGCGAGTGCGGTATCCCCGAGCCCTATATTAGAATCACGCGGCAGTGCAACACGGACTGTTATACCGATATCAAACTCATAAAAACACCGGTCCGTGTTCAAATCCGGCGCGGCGTCAGACAAGGCGAGGTTACGTCCCCGAACTTGTTCGCTATTGCGCTCGAGAACATCATGAGGCGAATCTCGTTGCCCGGAGGAGTGAACATCGACGGCGTTCGCTTAACGCATCTCCTCTTCGCTGATGACTGTGTTCTGATAGGCGAGGACCCCGCCGACATTGCGCAATCCCTGAGCCTCATCAGGCAGGAAGCCGGCAAAATCGGACTACAAATTCATCCCGGCAAGACTCAGTGGATGCACAACGAACAAGTTCAGTACCAGCCGATCCTCCTAGAAGGCCAGGAGATCGAGCGAGTCTCCTCTTACGTATATCTCGGTAAAGCGGTCAACATGAATAACGATCTCACGCTCGAGATTAGCCGACGCCGCAGAGCGGGCTGGACCGCGTTCAATAAACTTCGAGATGTACTAACTTCTAAGCACGTCGACCCCCGGGGTCAAAGCTCACGTCTTCAACTCGCATGTTCTTCCCGCGATGACCTACGGGGCGGAGACGTGGAGCACCACAGTCTCTGAAGAGGAGAAACTCGCAGTCACTCAGCGAGCCATGGAGAGGGCCATGTGCGGGGTAACGCTCCGAGACCGCATACCCAATGACACCATCCGCGCTCGTACGATGGTGAAGGACGTCGTCGATGCCATCTATAATTCCAAGCGGAGGTGGGCCGGTCATGTGGCTAGACTTACCGATGATCGCTGGACGAAGAGAGTGACTGACTGGTACCCAAGGGGAAAAACAAGGCCCAGAGGCAGACCCCCACCAGATGGGCAGACCCTCTCGTGAAGATGTACGGCCAGTTGTGGCGCAGAAGAGCCCGAAGCAGAGCGACCTGGAAGATGTGCGACCTGCGTTTCTGGCGTGCCCGGGACGAATAGCGGTCGAGAAGTAAGAAGTAAGTAAAGTAAG